CGTTGTCCTCCTCAGTTTATGCTCTCTGTAAAGTTCTCATTCCAGTGAGACTACACTGAGACTCATTTTTTTGCCTCCCACAATGCCTTCAGTAATGTAAAAAACATCAGACAAGCAGGCATGGATGTCTAAAGAGAGACTATCTTTGCAAGCCACTGATCTATCATTTAGTCAACAGGCTCAATTCATAGACTGCTATAGCAAAGCAAAATCAAGTCAAGCACAATGAAAATGGGTAACACTATTTCACTCCCAAAATTATAAAACATGTCAGTTTTCTGCCAAACTAATGTAATGGAACACAGTTATGATTTTATGAAGAATTTTTTTCACATAATTTTAGCCAACTATCACTCTGGCTAGCATGTATTAAAGATCTTGAGAAAAAAATACATTTATTCTCAACTAATGAAAGCCTCTGCACACCTCTGCCTTTGTATCTTTATTTGCTAAACAAATGATAAAAGTTTATATATTCAGTTTGAAACCAAACAAGAGTGCAAAACGTATCTGAAGAGGTCTGTGCAAAGAACTGATCCTAGCTTATTGGAAGCAGCATGAAAAATCATACTAGACAGGGAAAAAGTTCCAAGAACGCACTTAAAGAAAAGCTGTATAAGTTACTGGCAATGTATATGTCCTATTTTAACCAAGAAAGAGCAGAGATTACTGAATTCCCCTCAGAGAAGAACCCTTAGTTCAGGAGTTTTCCTTTCATACATGTCACAGTTTTGGGCAGTGAAAACACAGAAAAACAGCACCATGGGAGCTTGGGAAGGTCCTTGCTGAATCCCCACAGCCCCACCAGAAACCTCTCATTATTAAAACAACACTCCTTCCCCTCTGTCCTAGCTTGCCCAATTATTAATTTTGGTTGGGTTTTTTTTCAGCTGCTGGAGCATTTCACAGGGACACGACATGGAAAGCTGCCAGCCCTCCCAGAGCCAATTCCGAGTAGGTCAGTCTTGGCTCAACAGCAGAGCACATAGCGAAGCAAAAGGAAACACAGGGCCCTGAACTCACGCCCATCTTCCCTCTCATCCTCCATACACACACCCTGGACGCAGATTTGCTTCGACTGGTGAGGAATTCACTGGTGGCCAACATCATCTCCACTGGAGACCATGATGGCTGCCAACAGGCCCTATCCATAAGCAAACCCAAGAACCGCTCAGATTAGAAGCTGTGTAAACCTAGAAGTTAAAATTCCAAACTTTACCATTAGTGCGTATTATTTTTGGCTTCCTCCACGTGTTATAGGAAGTTACAGAGTAACTGTAATAGAGATTTGCAAATAATACCAATCCGAAGATCAGCACAGGTGGAGTAGAAAGTGGTGACACGAACTGACCTGTTGCCTCCAACATCTTCAGACAGCAGGCATGCTGCAGCAGCACAGGGCATCTCAGCCTCCTACCTTGCTCCTGAGCAGGTTTGCTCACAATTAGCTTTGGTATCAGGGTGGGGATACTATTATAGTAGTGATAAGACCCTGAGGATAAGGTCCCCCGAGCAACAACCACGAAGCAGCCTGAAGTTACAGCGTTCATTTTATCTTCATGCAAATGACTCCTGATCTGCAGTTAATTGCTAGCTTTAGTACAGGACAACGTCTTGATGCACATCACTAGCACAGCCATCACCTGTGGCTTTTGATTTGTGCAGAAAGTAGAGGCCACATATGCAGTGGACAGCCCTAAAGAATGATGCATTACCCTTTGTTTATGAGGGGGATACCAAAGAAACCAAAATATTACTGATACTGAAACGATATCGTGGATACTGATATTTAAAATATTCTACAGAAACCCCGTGCCCCAACACTAGTGCTGGAAGCAATCCCCAAAGGATTGTAGGGAAAGTGAATGCACTATTTAACACATTAGGGACATGCTTACTTTTCTGTTACCCAGAAAAACATCATCTGGATAATTCTTCTTTAATAATCATGGACGTACCATGACACAACCAAGCACAAAATACTGCAAGATTGCAAGAAGCATTTACTCATTATCATAACAAATCCATAGGGGCAGATTCACTGGAGTCGCAGGTCAAACCCATGTTTCTTTCCAGGGATGAAAAAAAAGTGGAAAAGAAAAAGGAAGGGATGTGTCAATCCTTCCACACCTCATCCTTTGACAGTAAGTACTCTATGCCATCTGGCTATTAAGGACTGTCAGCACTTGAAGAATATCTGTAATGCTTTCCTGACTGCTGTTATAGAAAAGGAAAATGAAAAGAAAAAAAGTCACAGAAAATTCAATGTAAAGTGAAATTATAATCCTGCCTCCTTTTCTTCTTTTGAGAGGGGAAAAAAGGCTGTGCTTACTGTATATCTTAGAAAAACTGTACTTTGAAAACAGTGACAACTGGTGAATAGGCCTGAGGATTAAGGCGTCAAACTTTAAAAAGACAGGTGACCAAGCAAAGCCCTCCCCCTGCACACACCTCTTACTGCCCAACGCACCGGGGCAGACACCACCTGCAGATTGACGCAAGCAGCAGAAATCAAGGGCTGATTTGTCTATTTGGCATTTCTTACGAAGGTCCAGAACAGAGCCCGAATTTATAGCCTTCGAGCGCTCCGTAAGGCCTACGTGTTTCACTAACCTGATAAGCAGAACACTGACTGAGCCATCTCGTCATCCAATCTCTAGTAACTCCGTATGACTCCACTCTCCCAGCAGCACACGACTCCCAGGGCAGAGTCACTCTGCCAAGGCAAGGTACACAAGGCACATGGCAGACACAAACCACAACTCCTCCCACGGGCTGAGGGCTGGAACCCACCCCAGAGGAGCAGGGGCTGGCCTGGGAGACAAGAGATCCTGGCGAGGTGCATTTAACACATTCCTGCACAGCTCCTGCCAGTATCACTCCTACGGGCAGTGGAAGCTATTCTAGCTGAAAGCAAATATTCTTGCCTTCGCTGAAAGAAGAGCATGCATTTTACAGAAACAAGCATAACTGAGCTCACTATCTTCCAGAGAAGTTTTCCTAGTGTGTTTTGTTTCATTATATCTGCATTATATCTAACAAAAACAGAGCTGCTGGAGTAAGGACGTGTTTCGGTATCTCTATACAACATGCTGCATTTTCAAGTGCTTGGTTTGGTTTTCTGGACCTTTCCACATGTATTAAGGCATAAAGCATTTTGAAGTTACCACCTTTAGCACAGGAAGAACCAGCACCTTACTTATTTGCTCACTTTAAAAGGTACTTTTAAATTGTGTATGAAGACTTACTGTAACAAGCATAACGACCAGAATTTTTACACCTCGGATTTTTTTTACATATTCCATCCTCAAAATATTAATAAGCACACTCAATAAACACAGGACTGACTTGTGAATATCACTATTCTTTGCATCTTTTGTCCTTAAAAATGAAAGCTAAAAATACACGTACACCTCCCTGTTGCATACTTGCTCCCCATTTGAGCAGAAACTCCCAGACAACCAACATAAACAACTGTGATGAATACTCCAATGTCCAATGGGCAGTGGGATGAGCACCATAAAAAGAAATTAAGACTTACTATTTTTCCACCTCCCCTCAAAACACAAGAGTCTAAACCAACTCCTCTTTAGTCAGTTGTGACTTTGTAAACTCTGTATCTACCAAACCACAACACTGCCAGGAATAGCACAAATCTCAGTGCAAGGATTACAAAATCATTTTTGGGGTTTTGGTTGGGGTTTTGTATTCCTTTAAGACCCCCAACACACACCCTTGCAAAGAGGAACAGTTTAATATGCTTTTAGTTTTCAAAACCAGCATAGATGTGTTTATTCTGTTGGGTATACACCAAATGTTTGAACAAAAAAAGAAAAAGTTAGACAATACAGCTCGCTTGACTACGCTATTTATTCGAAGGAAAACCAAAAAGATCGATTTTCTATTCCAACCCGCTGAAACGACGATTAAATAAAGACTCTCCTGGCTTTTCTTTTCCAAAGCAAACAAACAAACAAACAAACAAACCACCTCAGCTTCTCATCTGACAACTAACCAAATGGGTTCCAGCGGCTGGAAAATCCTGCCATTGGCCATCCCTTCGCCACAGGCACATCCCATACACCTGGTTGGGATATACGCCGCTCTCCCGGGATGAGGGGCGAACAAAGCTGGGACCGGGGTGGGGGGTGTGGATCTGTCACAGGCCGCGTCCCGGCGCCGGCCGCCGAGCTCGGGAGCTTGAGGCGAGCGCGATGCCAGGTTAACAATTCGCAATTTGCCTCACTCCTGGACGCCGCGGCAGCCCTCCATTTTGTCAGCTGCCTCAATTTAAACGTTTGGGTTTGGTTTGTTGTTTTTTTTTTTTCCCCCAAGTCGAAGGCAGAACTTCCAACATTTCTCCGGCCGCCCTCCGGGGCTTTTTAAAAGCATCCCCGACCATTTTAAGCCCGTTCGGAGCCGGCGCTCTTGGCTAAGTTTAGCAAGGCAGCGGCGCGCGCCGCGCCTCATGAGGAACCCCCCGAGCCCTCAGCGGGGCCAGCGGGCTCCTGCCCATCCTTCTTCCAGCCGCGGCTGCCTCCGGCCCCGCCACGAACAGCGCCCGGCTCCCTCCTCTCCCGGGGAGAGGCAGGTGGATGTCGGGAGGTGGAAGGGAAGGGGAAGGGACGGGGCGGCAGGGGGCCGGGTGCCGGCAGCAGGTAGGGGAACGCGGGGCGGCCGTGCCCGTGCCGTACCCCCTCCCTCACACCCCCGTTCTTACCACCTGCGGAAGCGGCCGGAGCCCGCCCGGGCCACAGCAGCGACCTGTCCACTGCGGGCGCTCTGCTCCGGAGGTGAGGGGGCGGCGGGGAAGGGCATGCGGGAGGAGAGAGGGAGGGCTCCCACCGCCCGCCTCTCCTTCACCTCCCTCTCCCTCCCTCTCCTCCTCCTCCGTCTCCCCGCCCAGCCCGGCCCGGCCCCCCCGCGCCCCTCGCCCCCTCCCGAGTTGGCTTCCACGGGGCGGCCCCGGGTCGAGGGTCCGTGCGCCTCCCGGCACTTACTGTGTCACCCCCTGCCCGTCTGTCTGTCCGTCTGTCTGTCCCCTCGGCAAGGATAAAACTAATTGCCACCAGCCTCGCGGCTGCCGCCCGAAACAACTCTGCCTTCTTCCAGTCGCTGGGAAAGCTCCTCTTTTTCCTTCTTCTTGCATAAGAAAACTCAACAAAACCAAAAAAAAAACACAACCAAACCCCAGCAATTTTAAAATAATTAAAAAAATAAAAATATATTCGTCTTTTTTTTTTTTTTTTAAGAGTGGGAAGCGTGAAGGTGGGAGGGGAGAGGACCAGAAAAAGGAAACATTTGGAGCTTTGGAGCTCTTTTTCTTTTTTTTTGCTTTCCTTCTCCTTCCTCCACCCCCCACCAAGATGGCTAGAAAAAAATTAAACGGGGATAGTGATGAGAGGGGACACACACTGAAAAGCTATGGAGGAGGGAAAAAGTTTGGGGGTTAGGGGGTTTTGCGTGTGTCTTTGGTCTTTTTGTGGTTTTTTTTTTTCCTTTTTTTTAAAGCCTTCGGTTCCCAGAATGACCCGAAGGACGACAAACACAAGGGAAGCGCAAGGCACAAGGAGAGGAACGAACGAGAGAAAAGAGTTTCGCTGGTCAGTAAACTTCAAGCTGCCGGGATGAGGTCATTGGTGTAAAAATAAAGCGATGGCGTCATTTGAAACCAATCCCAGTGAATGAACTCAGTCAGACGGGGGGGGTGAAGGTGGGGGGAGAGGGTGAAGGAGAAAAGAGGAGGAGCGGGGAGCGAGGATCCCCGCGGGGCCGCTGAGGCAGCGCAGCCCCGGCGCGGGGAGGCGATGGCGGCGGGGCTCTGGGGCTGTCACCCAGGGGAAGGCGCTGCCCCCGGCCCGCCGCGGCACCCCCGGCCGCCCCTGGGAGGAGCCGGGGCCCCGGAGCGACTCAACCGAGGCGCTTCCCCGCCCTTCGCCCGGACGGGGAGGAGGCGGCTCCGCAGCGCGGCCCTCGCCGCTTTGCCGGCCCCTCTCGGCAGGGACCGCCCCGCCTCAGCCGCCCCTCCGGCCCGGCCCGGGGCAGCGCCGGGCACGGAGCGCAGCGCGGTGTCCCACTGCCCTCGGAGCCACCGGCCGGGGGGACAAGCGCCCCGGGTGGCTCCATAAATACCGGTCTGATCTGACCTTCTTTTGCCTCGTGACGCCGTGCGGTGCGATGCCGAACTGCTGCGGTGTGTTAGGGCGTCAGTTCCTCCAGCGGTAGTGTTATAGAGTCATATAGTCACGGAGTGGTTCGGGGAAGAAGAGGGACCTTAAACGTCATCCGGTTCCCTTCAGTTGATGCGGGCAGAGCACCCTGTGGGCCACGTGGAACGTGGAGGGCCTTCGCTCTTTAAATAACCTTGTTAAATAAAAAAAAAAAAATTAAATTAAAAATCTGCAGCAAATAACTTGAAAAAAGCAAAAGTCTGCACAGCTACACAGGAGCTTTTTGTCTTAATACGTATCTGTTATGGCCAGTACCAACCTGAATTAGCGAGGAGTTGGATGGGTCCTATCTGTCTCACGCATCCCTCTTGCAGGTACACCAGAATATTCTGCCGTTCGTTCTTCCTCAGAGGCATCATCACCACAGGGAGCCTGCCAGCCCTGCTGGGTGCGCAGGACATCTTGCACACCAAACTGCAGTCAGTCACCTCTGATGGTTTTTGAATCCCTCTGCCAGAAACCCTTGGAAGACAGCATGAGAGAGAGAATTAACCGCATGGGTCCTTTGTTCTTGGTGGCTATCTGTTCAAACAAAGTACCTTCGGAAAGGCACATGATTATCACCAGGAAAATGGTTTGTGGGGTTGGTGTTTTAGGAAGCAGGCAACTCAGAACAAATTATATGGTGGTGGGCTCTCTGTCCTGACAAAATTGACCAAGAACAACCTTGATGAAAGGCCCAGTGTTAAGGAGTTGTGAGCTGTCCCTCATGAGGAAGCCTTGTTGGCACTCAGACTGAACAGTCACGTCCTGTGCGATGGAGTGCAAAGCATGCAGGAGAGAGAAGCCCAAGCTCCATGAGACAGAGACAAAAGATCAAAAGCAGTGAAGAAATTATGGTAAAGCAATTAACATCACTCTGTTCACTATTTTGCACGTTTCTGTCTTACCGTAGATGAAGAGCAGTTTGGCCCTTTTGTCTCAATTAACCAGTGGCCCTGAAGATGCCTTTCACAAACCCCCAAAGTGCCCACAGTATTAAAAATCTGCACAATTAACTGGTGGTTAAGAGAGCTAGAACTGACCCATTTTGATGAAGGGGATCGGAGAGCGTGCCAGAGAAACTGGAGGTAACAGCCAGTGCCCCAGCTTATTCAGATCAGAAAAGTGCAGGAACAAATAGTTCCAGCGTGGTTATCCTCACAAAGAGAAGTGGGGAGCAGTGGAGAGAGGTGCATGGTGAGGAGGAAAGACATTTCAATTCTCCCTTCCCATTTGTCATCTCAACTCGGTAACACCTTATGTAACTGGTTTGTTTGTTTGTTTGTTTAAATTGTGGGACTGTCAAAGTTTCCTGACTGCAAAATTGTAAGAATGAAAAGTATTTGTGATCTTTTTGAAATATTTTTCTTTTTGGCTGAAAAAAAGGATATATACTGAAGAGTTTGTACTAGAACAGCAAGTTAAAACTTTTTCAATATAGAGCCAGGTTATTTCTTTTTCCTAAGGTAATAAAAGATGCGACTAAACCAGTGATATCACAATTCCTGCATGTTGAAATTGTTACTAAGAACAACTTTTTCTTTGCAGCTGAGCTTGAGCTGAGAATCTGGTATGGAAGAACATTGCAGGGTTAAACTGGACAGGTTTGTTGCTAACCTGAAGACACCAACAGAAGAAATCATGAAAACTCCAACAAGGCAGCATCAGACCTTGCCTCAGTGAGAGCAGGAGCTGTGTTCTTTACCTCCTGTTTGCAGTGGACAGAGTGTGAGCTGACATGCCTCTCGCAGGAGCAGGAACTAGTTTGCATGTACAGCTTAACTTTTTTCTTTCCCCCTTGAAAGCCTTTCCCTCCTCCCTAGCACTTGCACAGGGGGCTCCTGGAAATGATCTGAGCTGCAGGCACAAACTCGGGAGAGTCAGGCAGTAGTTTGGCAAACACCTGAACAGTCTTGAGAAGGGAGTACCCAGCCTTGTAGGTGTCCCTGGCTGCTGACCTTCCCTCCCAAGTTTTCAAAGCTCCATCCATTCTATGAACTGTATTTTGCTACATTTCTGTTGATGGGGTTTTTTTGGCTTCAGCTCACCGGTCCTTTTTTGACGAAATGGCACCGAAGGAGTTAAAGTTAGCATTCCTTTCTTGTGTCTCCTTATCAAGCCTGTGAGATAAGAAGACCAGAAGTGTCTATATGGGGTAAAACAAGGGCAAAATATATCATGGTGGCTATCCAACAGCCCTCAAACTCTGACACTGCAAGTGTGTCACCCCTCACTGCCTCTATTCCTGGGGGGCCAGGGAGGGGGAATAGGTTGGTACTTTCAAGAGCTGGAGGTCATGCACCTTTTCACAAAAGTTTCTCTTTCTTTATTTGTAAAAGCTGGCACAGCTTTCTGTTCCTCTTCCAGCGAATGGATTTTGTGGCACTTCACTCGGTTAATCAGTTAGCGGTGATTAAACACGGGAAACATGAACGACAGCCCAAGTAACGTCATCATTTTTTCTGCCCGGTGGAAAGGAGTGGTTTGCCAGAGGATCCTCTTGCGAAATATCCGAGAATTGATCTTTAAGCACAGAATTTACTGTGCTTTAAAATCCCCTTGTAAGAGCAGCACAGGTTTGTAGGAGAGCACCACTGGGAACATGAGGATTTGGAAACCAGTAGGAATAGAAGAGTGGGGACTGAGAGTGGGGAAAGAGCAGAAGAGGGAGAAAAGTTTGTATCTGGAGATCAGTGGGAGATCACAGAACTCAGTCTAGAGTGGAGGAATTTGAGTAGCATGAGAAGTGCAGGCATCAAAGATGTAGGGTGCCAAGTAGCAATGCTCAGAGGAAAACAGTGAGTTGAGAACACCCAGTATCTCCCTGTTCTTCCCTTCCTTCCCTTCCATGTGGGCATCATACTTTGGGAAGCTCTATTCCTCTAGAAAATGGTTAAGTAAGAATAGCCTCATTAGTTTGTCACTGCTGACTTATTAAGATGAACTAATGCATCCTAGATAGTATAGCAAGACAGTTGCAGATCAGAGAACTGAACCAAGTTCTCTTAAATTCCAAATCTAACCACTAACTCTTTCTTTTCCCTCTCCTCTCTTCCATCTCACAAAAGAAATAGTATCTTTTTTTTTTTTTAACTTACATAAGCAGGCAGATTTATTAAAATTCAGCACTTGCACAAAAGTTTGTTGGCTTAGTTTGCAAACAGAGAGACACATACACATACAAAAGCTGTAAGTGAGATATACAACAGAAGACAGAAAAGATAAAAGAAGAAATAATAATTTCTGGTTCTATGAATGGCCTTTTTGAAGCTTAGGGGGGGTTGATAAATTCTAATCATCTTAAGCAGAAAAAAGTTGTGGTCAGGCCACTTCTGAATAAAACAGCAAGATTAAGTTTTGAGGAGGCATTTGAAATTGGAGATCCTAATAAATATTATTTACAGAAAAGGAGCATAATAACATGTTGCCACCAGGAAACAGATTAATGAAATACTGCTTTCAAGAAACAACAAGTTCAGACGAATCTTCAGCAACTGAAAAACTTAACTAGTAACATTTCTCACTTTTCTGTTTATCTAAAGAGAAAATATTTAAATAAAACCAACAGAAAAAGCTCATACATCTAAAAAAAAAAATCACAAACACGTTCCAGAAATTAAGATAGTTGTCACAATAAACACCCACCTCACTTACTTTTAGCTCTTACTCACTGTTAGTCACTTGTCTGTGGGCTGGTTTGCTTCTATTGAAATCAGCTCGTGAGGGGCTGTTACCACAGGTGGTGTAAATCATCATTGCTCAACTAACACTTGGGTTGCTATGCTAATTTATACTATCTGGAGAGTAGCTTTGTATGCTCATGGTTTGTTTGTGGCCACTGAAGAATCAGAAGTAAAATGTATTTGTGTTTATTAGGAAGGCAACATAAAATGTATGAGGTCTTTGACTATTCATATCCTCCTTTTTAATTTTTTGAATACTTTAAATGAAGTGGGATATAGTCTTAATATAGCCTTAAATCCATTTTAAATTTCCTGTGAAGTGTTTTCCTAAGAGTACCCATGATACAAAAAAAAAAAAAAAAAGATAGCTTTTATAAAATGTTTAGAAGTTGTGATACATGAAATGTCATTTGGGTCAAGATAAACCAGCAAGTACAAAATTACTGGATTGACAGCATGCTAAAGTAAGTTCACAAGCAGGAAAACAGTTCAAAAGTCTGAATGTAGAAAGAGAATGTATAACCTGTGATAACGAAGGTTTATTTATATTTATATTTATTTTTATTTACTTGTTTAAAATATTTTTCTTTTCAAGATATTTACACAGGAGAGGAAATTTTGTGAGTTTTAGAGTCTTCACCATTTCTCCTGACCCATTTTGTTGCTTCTGCCTCCCTTTAACAGCTCCTGACTCCTACAGGTAACCTAAACATCGTGGATTTGATAGGTTAGTTTTTATTTTATTTCTAAGATGCAGTTTGGGGGTTGCAGT